CCCCCCCCCCCCTCGCCGGCCCCCGCAGTTCTCCATCCTGACGGAGGCCCCCGCCTTCCAGTTCCAGGCCGCGCTGCTGTCGCGCGTCCCTGTGTCCCTGGTGATGAACTTCAGCGCCTTCCTGATGGCGGTGCGCATTGGGAGCTACGCGCTGCTGCCGATGGCCCCCACGCCCTGGGCTGTGCTGCCGGTGGAGTTGCTGCATGGTGAGCGGCTTTGGTTGCGGCGTGCAGGGAGGATCATCTGCCAGTCCGGCGCAACAGCTGGAAACCAGGTCGATTTTCCGAGTGCAGCTGCCAGGGTGGGGCCTGCTCGTAATCGGCAGTCAGGTGGCTGCTTTGCACGTGTCGCAACGGCCAATCAACTCAGCTGACTCCTTCTCGCGCGCTCATCACGCCGCTGCAGGCGTCACGTTCGCCACTGCCTGGGGTGCCGGCATCGTCAACTGCAAGCGTATTGCCCCGCCGTCGCTGAACACGTCGATGCAGGTGCGGCGACAGCTTCACGGCACCTTGCCCTGCAACATGTACAGCACTCAAACTGCCCCCAGAAACCACACCCTGCTCTGGCATCCTGCTGATTCTCGCACACAGAAAAGTGGTCTCTGCAGTCTGAATGTTCACAAGTCTTCACAAGAGTCGTTCATAGAACCCTATCTTATCTCCTCATCAGGGTGCTGTCGATCGATCCCACCTCATCACCTCATTATACAACACCGCCAATCCAACCTTTGCAGTCTGTCTTCAGCGCAATGTGCCTGGGCTTTGGACCCGGTCTCGGCGGCATAATTGGAGGCCAGCTCTTCCAGGCATTTGGCGCCCGGATCATGTTTGCCATAACCTCGGCCACGCTCCTTGGCCTGTGGGGGCTCGCTCTTGTCCTGGACACTCTGATTGGGGCCTCGGAGCGCCGCGTGGCATCTGCAGCGGCGGCGGTTGCGGAGAGCAGAGCGCCAGCGGCCGCAGCGCATGTCGGTGGTGGGGCGCCGGCCGCAGGGGCGGCGCCAACCAGGCTGTTTGCATCCCCGTCGGCGCCGCTGGTTTCGCGGTCCTTCAGGAGTGGCGCCGCTCGATGCTGAAAAGTGCCTTGCGGACCTCAATTTAAGCCGTCCCCAGCCCTAAACCCTGACGCGATTGGTGGCGCTCCGCTTTGCGGTCAAACGCCGTCGCTTTTTGCATTATTTGCTACAGCGGGCGGCGTGAGACAAGTCCCCCCATCCGCTCGAGTCGCAGACTCCCGAACAGAAGGTGTACAGCTGCTGTCAAGCCCAGGCACCTCTGTGCATCATGATGCGTCTTTGAGCAGCATGAAGCACTAACAGCTGCGACGCCCCCACATGTGCTCTCATCCTTGCCCAACCATCTCTTTCATGGGCTTGGAAACCCTTTGTTGTGAGGATGCACAAGCACACCCGTGTCACATGCGCTGGCCGTGCAAGGCAGCACACACACACACACACACGCACTGTCCACATGATCAACAACCACGGCTGACGCACGACTCCTGGCTGTCCAGCCAAGCGCTCAGCTGCTGGCTAGCTGGCAGCAGCCAACCTGTGCAGGCTGCACACATGGCCCAGCTGGCACAGACAGTGCGCACCTTTGTCTTCATCAAACCGCCAACACACACATGCCTCACATGTGATTTATGTGTCCAGAGTATGTGGGCCTGCTCTCTGCATGCGGGGCGCAAGCATGGCCATCTGATCGGCAGGCGGGCCCACCCTGAGGCGCACCTTTTGCTGTGCGCCAGGGCACACCGACCGTATGTCCAAGTACTTATCACGAGAGGAGAGAGTCACAGCACAGGTCTGGCGAGTACGCTCTTGCCGTGCACTCAGGAGTATCGGCTCCCTAGCTCAACCCCGCGCGGCTCCAGACAAACCTGCGCCGCACCGTTGGTCATCAGCAAGAGCCATCATCATTAATGTGGCACGGAGCACGCCTCGCGCGCGATCGCGGCGTCTTTCGTCAGCCCTCTCCAGCAGGGCCTCCATGCCTTTGAACCGCATCTCTGTGTGCAAAAGCGCCAAGCGTCAGCGCCGTCGGGCTGCTGCGGCATTTCAACTGTTCACGCGCATCACGCGTGCTTTTCTTGGTTGTTAGCCTCTTCTGGGCAAGAGTCAACAACCCTATCAGAAAACTAGGCAATAACCACCCGCATTTGCCGTGCTCTGCACACAAGCGTAGGCAGTCGCGCCCTGGGGTGTGCGCACGCATCCTCACATGCATACACCACGCGCACTGCAGCCGCCCCTTGACAGTGGCAAGCACCGAGCGCATCCAATGTTGCTTCTAGCACTCGGCACTTGTGCAGGCAAATTCGTGCTGCGCAGTGCACAACTGTTGTTTGCCACGCCTGCCTGCGGGCAAATCGCTGGCTGTGGCGCAACAATGCTCACTACAACAGCGCACGCATGTCCGCGCTCCTTCCACCTGTCCTGCGGAGCAGCCCCAGAGTTGGGCTGGGACGAAGGACAGCTGCTTTGGGCAATTCAGAATTGGTTGATGAATGTCACCGACTGCCTGCAGGTTAGCACAGCTGGGCGCCGTTGTCACATCCATTCCTAGCCGCCAGTGCTGTGGACGCAGCTCTGCGCCATTGATGCATTGCGATGTAATGCGTGAAGACCAGGAACGCCTGGCATGGGAGAGTAACTGCCAGCGATGTAGGAATTTCTAATCGCGACACTTGAACGCTGGGATCCTCGCAGCAAGTTATGGCCTGCTAACGCTCCTGGGAGGTGGCATGAACCAGAGGCCTTGATGTCTGCGCCAACAAATAGCAGAAATGTTGGCTCACATGAGAAATATCGAGTATGCAGCCAGCTTGTGAGTAGCAGACACCACACTAGATTTATATGGTACCGTAGTGACCTGCTGTGCGAGATGCCTCGCCCTGCCTCAGGCCGCCGCGGCCTCCGAGAGGAACGCCACGACCCTAGGCACCACCTGCAGCAGCGCCGCCATCCCGCTGAACGTGTGGTCGCCGCCCTCTACCAGCAACAGCTCGTGGGAGGTTACGGCGGCAGCGAACCTGCCGGCCTCCGAGACCGGGACGTCCGCGTCGTCTGGGGTTGACGACATGCATGGGTGGAGGAGTGGATGTGTGAGCTCCGGGTATGGGGCGGCTCAGCGGGCTGGAGGCTGGCAAGCCAAATCATCCAGACACCAAATGGGAAAAAGTGGGGTCTGTATTTACAAGTGACACACAGACATGTAACTGGTACTGTGCACATGACAGTGTGTGCATCCGCCAGCTTGCCCTGTATTGAACAGCCTTGACCTGAGTTCAGTGGCATTTGCTCGTCCCAGCAGCAAAGGTGAGGATGCGCACATACAAAAAACTAAGACACGACAGCCAGGCCCACCACCTGTGCCATGGACGGTCAGGACGCGCGTTGATTCAGGGATGGCGGCGCATGCGGCGGCGACGTCGGTATCGAGGCGGTCCTGGAGGTCTGCTCCTGTCAGGAGCCAGGAGAACTCGCCCCTTGCGCGGCTGCGGCCGCGCATCTCTACCTGTGGCGTTGGGTTTGCTTCTGTGTGTGTGTGTGTGTGTGTACACGCACATGAGTGTGCACATGCACATGCGTGCATGCGCTTTGCGGGGGTAGGGGCGAGGATGGTGGCTGGGACCGTGCGGTGGACAGGCGGCCGCCAGCGGAGGAACGGAGCCGAGCCAACAAAGTTGGAGCCACGAGCCGAGTTTATGGCTGGCAGCCGAGGAAAAGGTCCACAGATTCAGTGCACATGGCTCCAAAGTGCTGCATTTCAAGTGCTGTTGTCAACGATCAAATAGCCATGCAGATGTCATTTGCAACTTGGGCTTTTGTGGCATGGGAAGCTGAGATCCTAGGGAGAAGCCGGAGAGGCAGCAGACCGCCCACCTGCCCGTCCTCCTCCAGCCTCCTCAGCACAGCGGCCCCCAGCCGTCGCTCCACGCCGCCGCGCACGTCGAAGCGACCCGCCAAGTTGACCACCCTGTGGGGGGCCAGCAGGGCCGTCCCCTTTACCAAACAAACAAAGTGGCTCTGCTGGCGGAGTTTGAGGCGGAGCCGCTCCGACTTCGTCGGACGGCTCGGCCGTCCTTTGGGGCGCAGTTGTGTTCTGCCTTGCGCGAGGACATGCGTCCGCACCACAAGCCAACGCCGCCTGCAGCAGGCTACACGGCTTTGTGGCAGCCCCCTTTCTCCTTGTTTTCGTGAGGCCACTCTCACAAACATACCAGCTTCACAAGAAAGAGTGAGTGAGTGAGTTGAACACCCCCCCTCCCCCCCGGGCCTAAGCGCCCAGCCACCCGATCCACCTGCCTGAGGATATCGTGGTGCTTTGACGCGTACATGATCGCGTCAGTTGCCCCCTTCGAGTGCCCAACCAGGCCGATTGGTTTGAGGCCGTGGGCGGACCTCAGGTGCTCTGCAGCGCGGCGGATCTCCTCAGCTTCTGAG